ACTGTTGAACCACAGGTCTCCAATGTCTTCAGTGCTTCTGTACATGAAGAAAATGTACATGCTGGCTCCCAATGCCAGCTCTTTCTTTTTGGTGGCAGGTGTTATGTGGCCTCCATCTGCAACTGGATGCAGCTTTCCCTTCTCATTGCTGCTTCTGCTTGTTGTCAGCCTGGAGCTGAAACACGAGATGGCAGTTGTGCCGTGTCCTCACGGCCGCGCACGCTGCCCTGAGTGAGGTGGGATGTCCCCTGAGCTGGGGTCCCACGGCAGCAGTGCGGGGAGGGCACGCGGCAGGGCGCGGGGCTGGCTTGTGGAGGGACCACGTTTCCAGGAAAAACGCACGAGGGGACGGATGGGCTGAGGTGAGCGGGGTGAAGGGTCAGGTGAGGAGCTCAGATCAGCCCCAAGATGGGCAGTTTGGCCCACAGACAGGCAGCCAACACGTATTACTTACAGCGTCACCGGGCAAAGGGCTCGCCTTTCACCTGTGGCATCTGCAGAGCAAATTGCAGCAGTGGGATACTGCGGTTTGTCCTGGACCCCACGCCCTCTGTGCTGGCAGCAGAGAGACTGGGTGTTGACGGGGTGTCTCCCACTTTGGGGCTCGCCCTGATGGTGGCAGGCATTGCTGCTCTTGCTTGGCTTTGAGAGGCTTTCATGGAGACGCTCCCACAGCCTGTTGGGCAAATGAAGCAAAATGTCACGGGGGGGAAACTATTTTGATCCCTTTCATTGGGGGGGTAGAGGGCGGGAAGAAGTGGGTTATAGTAAATGTCATACAGGCCTGGAGTTGGAGTGTGCCTCCAAGTGGAACAGCGTTTGCTGGGCTCTGCCTCTCTGGACTGGAGCAAATGTGGAAGGCGAGCTGCTGTGAGCCGTTGGTGCTCCTGCTCAAAGAACCCATGGGACAGCTGGATCTGTGGAGGGACTGGAGGTAGGTCTGGGCAGCCTGGTTTGGGAAGGGACACTGAGAGGCAGAATTGATCAGGAGGGGTACAAGGTTCTCCAGTCTGAAATCATAGCTCTGCCTGTTCTCTCTCTGCGCCAGACTTGGTATTTCACTAAGTTTTTCCTGTTGATACAGGTCATGACCTGTGTAAGACTCTTCTCAGGTGCCAGGTCTTTTATACCAGTTCTGTTGTTGTAACAGGAGAGCTTTCCGGAGAATTTAGGAACTGGAGAGTCCTCAGAAAGCCAGCTGTGGGGTTTTCACAATCCCTTGCCTCGCAACAAGTCTGAAAGAATTCAGATATCCAGTGGAAACCTGTCATTTTGCTGTGTGTTCCTGCTTGCTTAATTGCTGGTATGTGGATGAAGACAGAGTGATTTCATGAAAGTTCATTTTTTTTTTTATCCCAAGTGTGATCTGTCTAGCCTGTGCTAGCATTATACAGTTATTTCTCGGATAACATCAGCCTTGTGGCTTGTTGTCAGAGGCAGGTGCTCTTGAGGAGCCAACTTTTTGATCTGTTAAAATCATTCAGATAAGTGGTATAACATCTCCCTGGAACACAGGGATAGCAAGATAAACCATGTTCCGTGTTAGGAGAAGAAAGGCTGTGTGCCTCTCTGTATCTCTCAGAAGCTGTTGAATGTTTTTCAGCATTAATCTGCAGCCATAACGACCCAACTCTAACCTGCAGTTATTAATTGGGAGCAGAGCCAGCAAATGCTGCAGAGTTGGAGCTGATATTCTGAGAACTGTGGAAAGCAAAACCAAGGAGAGGAGCAGCAAAGGGAATTGGTTTGTGATAACTGTGTACAAGGAGCAATGAGGGACAGAGGAAGGCAGGGGACGTGTATAATGGGCTCTGTTTCTCAGAAAGTCCTAAGTGGGAAGACACGGCATAAATAAGCCTTGGAGTCATTCCTTTTCCGCACTGGAAAGCCTCGCAAACCATCTGCATGCTGAAGATGTGCAACTTGATAAGGTATGACAGATTGTGCTCCGAGTGTGACAATAGTGAGGGCACGTCTGAACACAAATATTTTCCTTCTCCTGTGGAAAACGTTTGCAGTGGAGTAGGGGAACCGAAGTGCTGGGATATATTGCTTACGCCACACCAAGGGAAAAGACGGGACTGACATCCTGGGGGAGAGCTTTGGAGAGTTGGTCTGGATGCTGCCACCGCTTTCCCCAAGAGTCACAGGGCAGAGACCGCGCGTTGTCTGCAGGGGTTGCTGACCGGCTGAGGGTCTCTTCCCTATCCCCAGCTGCATCTTCCACCTGCTCCCCACCTCCAGCACAGCCGTGAGGGCAGGGGTGGCCAGGGTCTGCCAGGAGGCCCTGCCTTGGGACTTCCCTGACGCCTGTGCTGGGAAACGAGAGCGGCCGTGGGAGCGCTCGGGGCTGTGGCACAGGTGAGAGGGTGGGGAGCACAGCGCTGGCTCGCTGCCAGTGCTTCTTGCCATTCTTCCTCCTTTTCTTTTCTCTCCCCACCCCGAAGCATGGGAATGTAGTAATTGCGTTTTGACCCAGTTTCCAAAATCACTGTAGCATAGACTTTGGCAGGGGGGGCTGGGGGAACCACTTAGGAATGAAAACCAGCCATTAGCTAGTACCGGAGGGGCAGGAGCAGCAGCAGACTGTTACAAGTATGCACTAACAGCCTTGTAGAACAACTGTTCTCCTGCATGTTTTTATGGGAGGGCAGGAAAAAAGGTAATTGCATTTACATTTTTTTGATATTTGATCCCTGGTACACAAACCTTTCGAGCCTGAGTTCAGGTTGCCTTCAGCTGAAGCCCTCTAAGCATAGAGGCTTGTGTCAAGTGCCTGGATTTTCAAAACTTGGCTGGAGGTTTCCTGGCAGCCTTTCTTGTGGTTATTTCTGGTACCTCTGGCTGCCAGTTGGAACGCAGGGCTGTAGATCTGTGGGGAAGTGGAAAGGGATGGGTGTGAGTGCCTGTATGGAGTAGCAGCCCTTAATAGCAGGAGGCTTAGGTTAAGATGGGGTTTTGAAATGCGCGGAGACTTGGGGAGCAGATGTAAGTATGAAATCCAAACCAATTTCCTCATTCCGGCTATTAATATGAGACGGAAAAAAAGGTCTTTTGAAGTCATTTCAAGAAGCAGTTAATGTCTCTTGGAATCTCCCCAGCAACTCAGTGAGGAGTCTTGGAATTTAACCTCTCAAAGTGAGATAGGTGGGAAAGGAGGAAAAAAGGTCAGAAGACGTTGTCTTGAGGGATGGGAATGCAGTGTCCCTCAGCTTCTGCTGCCTGGTGTCCTCACTGCCTCTGTCCCTGTCATGGACAGGACACATTAGGCCTAAGGTACCACCAGTGCTTGAACATGGATTATGCTGCCTCTGCTGCAGGGGAGAAACAAGGGATGTCAGTGCCCCAGGCTTCATCTCCCAACAGAACCAAGGCTGTACATGAAGACATCGTGCCCTGGAGAGCAGCTCTTGCCTGCTCCACTGCAGAGCTCAATAAAAGGTCTCAGAGGATGAGCTGGTAGGTGCCTTGAGGATGTCCCTTCCCTTGATGAGGATGGATGGGAGCTTTGAGGTGGGACCATATGTGTGGGGGAAAAAGTTCAAGGCTTTGAGAAATGGAGATAGTCCTCATGTGTTTGTATTAATCAAATTATATGTGAGATTCTCCAAAGGCAATATTTTATTCTGGAGTTGTACAAGCATAAAATGAAAGCCTGCCCTTTGACAGCACTGGTATTTTCTTAAAATGCTCCACCAGAACATGCTGTCCCAAATATCTGTCAATACTCGGTCATGCCTGAGCCCTAAAGCACACAGAGCGGGATGTTGTCCCAGGATGGTCATCTCCTGTTGCTACACAAATGTTGAGGTGAAGCCCGAGTTTATTAGTTTTTAAGGCAGAAGATATTGTTTCTGCACATTTTTATTTCATACAGTGCCTTAATTTCTATTAGTCTTTAGCTGATATGCCTTGGATTTATTTTGCTTGGAAGGCTGGAGAAGCTGAGGCCAGTCAGACATTTCATCTCTTCTGTGTGACAGCTCGGTCCTCACGGCTGTTGTTGCAGGTCAGTGCACCTGAGGCTCCACTGCCTGCCCTTCCCAGTGCTTCCAGAGCACCAGGCACTCCTTGGCCTTCAGCTCCTGCTCACCAAATTGCCTCCTTCCTGGGGAGAGGAGCTCGGATGTGGGTTGTCGGCTGCAGCCTTCGCTAGGGACTGCTGCTGGAGTAGCAACTGATGGAGGAGGTAACCACAAGAGGTATTTTTAAATAGGCGGTTTCAGCAACAGGTCTTGTGGGCAGGTTTCTCATCTTAACTTCCTGGTGCTGCCTCACATGAAGTGCACAGCTTAGTGATTGCTGGATGTGGGGAGCGACTCTCAATGCCATGGAATCACCGAGTGGTTTGGGTTGGAAGGGTCCTTAAAAAGTCATCTCATGCTAAACCTCTGCCATGGGCAGGGACACCTTCCACTAGACCAGGTTGCTGGATATGTGTCAGGCAAGGTTTTCATACCTACAGGTACCTATCCAAAGGTTTTCCAGTGGAGTGTGTGGCTTCTGGAAGGTTTCAGCTCAGGTCTCCCTTTCTTTGGGATGAATCCCAAAGATCTGGGGCTAGATGCTGGGGGCATTCCTCATCTGCCTGCACTTGCAGGAGCTGCTGCAGCAGAAGGCTGTGGAGTTGGAAAGTGCATTGAAAGACCAGCTGGCTCTCAGGGGTGCTTCTTCCTTGTTTTTTGGCCTTGTTTTGGCTTGGACAACACATTTCTCCAGTTTCACTTTCACTCCGATTTTTTTTCCCTAGAATGCTTTGCTCTTCAGACTGCCCTGAAGTGGCAAAGCCCTTTTGGAGTTATGTACGCTCCTGAGGAACTGTTGTTTGCTCTAAACTAGACTGTTTCTGCTGGAGTTGCCTGACAAATAATTTAAAAGTCATTAAGTCCTCAAAGGTTTATTTATAGAGTACAAACTTCTGGCTAAATGTGACCTGCCAATGTTTGGTTTGTGTTTAGGAAATGTTGATATAAAAGATGAGAGACAGAACAAGAGATGTGAAAATCCAAAGCAGTGAATGATGCTGCTGTTTAATTATTTGAAAAGAAAAGAAAACATTTCTGATGACCCAGGATAGACAATAGGCTAATAGACTGAAGCCCTAGGCGAAGGGAAAAAAACAAAACCCACAACCAACAAACCAAGCCAGCCTTTGTTGTGGGGCATCACAAATTGTGTCCTCCTTAAAAATTATTGGGAGTTGAGAAACGAAATGACAGAAGAGAAAATAGGATGTATTGCAAGTACCAGCTGCTCCTGGGTAGCCTTTTCCTCTGTGTCCAAAGAGGGCCTGCAGAGGGAAGATCGGGCAACACACGAGAAGTTAACCAGTGGAAACACATTTGTCACTGGGAGTAGAGTCTGTGTTATCACAATAGGAAAATGGTTAAATGCAAAGAGCTGCGATGAACTGAGAAAAAGAAGAAACATTGAGATGAGTATCTGTTGCTTGAATTGGCCGAGTGAGAGGAAAATAGTGTTCCAAGAACAATAACCTAAATGGCACTGTAAATCAATCAATGGTAGGCTGACTGGAGCTGAGCAATATAGATGTCCATGGATTTACTGTGTAGTTTGCTGAGGTGGTAGTTTGATAGCTGTTTTCCCAAGAATCCATTGTGAGACATCATCTGAGAAGGCTGCTCAGGTGTGTAAATGGTTGGATGAGGTAGAGAAATTGGTGATTTATTTGTGCTACTGGTGGTGTATTTCAGATTTCCTGCAGTTGACATTTGGCATATCCAAAGCCCTGTGGGGGTGTCCCAGATGGCATTTTTTAGCATCAGGAAAAGATGTAGTCTTGAATTAAGAGGATCACGGTGACCTGCCATTCAAGTTCCTCATTCCTTCAGGATATTGGATGCTGAAGACCAGATGCTCTGTGTTATAGAGGCAAGGATTCAATTTTAGAGAAGCAGGCAGGAAGCAGTGTACATCAGGGAAAGCATTTCTAATCCTGATGCCTGTCACCATCTGCTTGTGGGAAGATATCTTCAACCAGAGGGTAAGAAGGCTGGTTGGGGGCTGCTGTGTTTTGAGAGTGGAAATCCAAGTAAGTTGTAATTTTTGTCTGTACAAGTCATGTTGTTGGACTTGGCCTTCCACTAAGAGTGGGTGAGATTGCTCCTCGTCCTTCCAGTCAGTGATAAAGTATTAGAAGCCTTCCTGAGCTGGTGCTCAGGAGGTAAGGAGCATCTTGATAAAGACAGTGGTGTTGTTGCTCTGGAAGGATTCAGTGCTCAGAAGAATCGGTCTGGATCACAGTGCAGGTGCTCTACAAAAGGGCTGAAGGGATTGTTGGCCCATCCTCCTGAGCATTCTCCGTGGCTTTTTTTTTGGCCCAGGGTGCCAGTAGCTGAGGAATGGGGAAGAGAAAGAAAATGATCAAAATGATAGCTGGGGACAAACTGGGAAAAGAAGAAATCCTCCTGGTGTAAATTCTGCTCATCCCATTTGCAGCCCAGCCATATCAGGTGTGTAGTCCATTATTACACGGATACAATGAGCCGTGTGCTCAAAGGGCTTGACTTCAGCCCTGGATTTCCCTCCTACCCTGGGAAGGGAAGGGATCTGTGTCCCTTCTGACCTGCTTTCTGTCTGAACTCGCTCCAAAGCAGAGAGCAGGTGGTGTGTTTGAGAGCACAGAAGTGCCTCAGTCAGCTGGGCGGCTTCCTTAGCCCTCTCCTTCCAGAGCAGGGGGGAGTATTTGTTGTCCCGGTGTCCCAACAGTTGGAAGTGGCGGAAGCGTGCGTTTCGGCATCCTACGCTCCGGTGGGTATTGCGGGTGTAGGAACAAACACACTTTCTTTATTTTAACAAAGCCCTGCATTTTTGGCTCTGGCCAAAGGCTGCTTTGGCCTCGTTCCCTGTAGCACAGAGCAGGACACAACTTGAGGCGTATGAAATCTGCTTTCTCCCTGGGGCCGGGGCGTTGAGCTGCCCCTCTGCTCACTGCTGAGGGGACACCGGCAGCTCAGCCCCTCGGGGGGGCTGTGCCCAGGGCTGGCTGCGGATCCGGGGGCGCTGGGGGGGACGGGAAGCAGGGGTGCTTCCCAGCAGAGGGCTCTCCAGCAGCACTGCCAGCTCCCAGCCTGCGCTCTCCTGGCCCCAGCAGCTCCTGGGCTCCTGGCAGAGAAGGATGCACGAGGTGTGGCAGTTTGGTGTGCTCATGGAGGAGCTGCTCTTGCTGGAAAGATAAGGGGTGTTTTTGCAAGGAGATGGAAGCATTTTAGAGAATGCAGTCACGGAGGTTGGTAGGAGACTGGCGAGGCTTGCTCGCAGGTCTCTGCAAAGCCCAAAGCAGTGTTGCTTCCCAGAGCAGTGGAACACAACTTGGGTTTTCAAAGCTCTTGAGGTGAACAGTCTGTACTTTCAGTAGCTAGCAGAAGTAGTGGAAGGTACCAGAAGAAATTGCCCCAGCTGATGAAATCCCCGTGGCTCTTCTTGTGCCCTGAGTGAAGGATCTGCTGTGACCTGAGTGGCTCTCCAAGTGCTCCAGGATGGCTCATTGCTCTCAAGCAGACACGGTGCATTATTCATGAGAAGCGCATCAAGCACTTCACAAAAACCCCCTTAACCCTCCAGAATTCTGCTCTGTCTTACCACAGCTAAATGTTTTTCAGCACCTCCTGTTTCTGCCTTTCATAAATGAGTGAGCAAGGGCACGGAAGTCAGTGGGAATTTGGCAGTTTTTCTTCCAAGAGCCCTGGAGTGGCTTCACAGGGAGTGGGCAGGCAGGGCTGAGCAGGTGCTCTGACAGAGCCAGCTCCCCACTGCATGTTGTTTTCGCTGCTAACTGAGGCAGCACTGTTAGGAAAGTTTCCAAAAGCAGTGGATTTGCTCACCGTAGACCTTTACTAATCAGCTGTCAGGGAGTGCTTGCTGAGATGCCTTGTTCTGTCTAGATTTCTTGGGAAGTGGATGGAAAGGACGGACAAGTCCTGATTCTTGGTGACTTGAATACAAATGGGAGAGCTACGGAGTTGCTTTTTGTGGTTCCCTTGGAAATCAGTGCTATTGTACTAATTCAGCTGTAATGCTAAGGAATGCAGTGCAGGAATTTGTTGAGTTCAGCAGCTGAAAGGGCTGCAGTACCCATGTCTATGTAAAATGGACCAAAACACCCCTGAAACCTCAAGGTCACGAGGAACAGCCGTGATCAAGGATGGAGTCCTGAAAAGGTGCGTGAGGGATTTTGTTGGTGTAGAAAGGATTTGCTGGGTGCACAGGTGTGCGCAGGGTGAACTGCTCCTGTCACCATGACTCGGCACTGACGTTTGTCAGCCAAGGAAGATAGCAAAAGCCTCTGCGATAAGGACAGCTGCGGGCTCTCGGCACCTAGATCCTTCCACTGAAATCTTTTTATCCCCTGAAACTTCCTGACTTAGGCTGAATTGCTTCTGACTTAATCCAACGCAAATATTTTATCACTGGGTAGTCTGCACAAACCCTTGGAAGTGCGGGAGCTGCCAGTTTCCATCTCAATCAGCATCGCCTCTGACCGACAATGCTGCGGTCAGCACGAGCGGCTTCCTAGGAATCTACCAGAAATGCTGCAAGATATATTTATGGAATAACCTGCCCACAGGGAAAGTTTTACCCTACCATTTCCAGCGAGCATGCGCATGTATGCGCTCTGTAATCTTTACCATCAGAACTTTGGCTGTTCTCATTATCCACACGCATGTCAGACGCTGTCATTGTCAGTGATACCTGGCGCGACCTCGCTGGAAAACGAGTTCCTGAGTTAGCCCAGTGAGGATGAGAAGGCAGACCAGCAATTCTCGTAGAGCAGCAGGCATCTCGGTGAAGGTGTATCCTGTCCTGTGCCCCGCTGAGGCATTGCCTCGGCCGGGATGTTGGCGAAGGCCGTCGGCACAGCTTTTCCTCGCCGAGGCTCTGCGAGCGGGGCTGAAGCCAGCGGGCTTGAAAGGCAGGTTCAAACAGTCAGCCAAGGTCTTCCCAAATCCAGCTGCTTCCCTGTGGCCTGCGCAGGGAGGGGAAAGCTAGCGGGCCGCTGTGCTGAGTGACGAGCTCCTCTCCGGTTATTAAATCAAGCAGAGAAAAACCCTGGAAGCGGCTGGGGAGGTTTGGAAAGGGAACGTGCGAGCCGAGGTGTGCGAGCGGTGCCAGAAGGTGCATAGATACATGCGTCGGACGAGTCAGCTCTCGCCAGCGGGGTTTTTTTGCCAGTCACAGTGACAGACAGGATTATTAGTGCACTTTTCTGTGCACAGAGAGCGTACTCATTTTTAAACTGGGTCGAGACAACTGCCCTGGCTCTTGATGTAAGGACTTCTGGAAATGGCTCTGGAAGCGTTTTAGATGATTAAACGCAGCAATGTTATATTTAAAGACTGACTTGGAATCATGCATCCTGATGACAAAACACTTTTTTTTCTTAGCCAGAAAATTCAATACACAGGTTTAAAATGACAGTATGTGAAGTTACAGAGAATTGTGAGGAACTGGAATTGGTACAGCTATTTAGGTTTGTTTCTGAAACAGTAAGCTAAGAGCTGGCTGCTAAGAAGCAGTGAGGTGCTTTCACTGGGGGGTCACAATGCTTGGGGGGAGTCCCAGAACCCTCGTGAGTTATCTAAATGGTAAAAACCAACAGCAATTTTCTCAAGGAGCTCCCTAGTTTATTTACAAGTGAGGTGAAGTGAAGGCACAGACTAACTGGCACATCATTAGGGATTTAGGGCGTGGAGAGAGGGCAGTCCTTGCTTTGGAGCCTTTGGAAGAGGGAAGATGTGCAGTTATTTGGGTTAGGACTTAAGTACACAAAGCTTCTCAACTGATGTGGTGCTCTGCTTTTGTTAACACAGAAACTGTCATTAATTGAATTCAAATATATTTGTAAGTGATGGGCATCACCACTGTGCCCACTGGAAACTCTCTGGCTGCTGAAAAGCCGGTTCTTAAAAAATTGGATTTATTAAAGGGAACAGAGGAGCCCAAGTCCTGACCCATTCATGCGCAGACTGTGGCTCTGAGCTCTTCCAGGAAAACATTTAAACAGCGTGAGGGGACAGTGACTTAAAGCCAATGGCTGGTTCTCGGTGTCTGGGGACAACAGCAGAAAGGAGAGGAGGAATTTGGCAGGGAAATCCTTCTGCAGCGCTCTCACTCCGCTCTGCAAGTGCCGTGGTTTCTGTTGCTGCTGCTTTTTTTTTTGCCTGGCCAATGGGTTGCATATCATTCCCTAGTACAGAGTTTGGATGGGTGACAAAGGTGGAGCTTGGTAGCTGAGGAGCAGCTGAAGGGGCAGTTGCTGTGTGGTAATCATAAACCCCGCTGAAGCAGGGGAGTTTTCCCCCTGCGGAGCTACAATAGCCTCCTTTGTTCCCCCGAGAGTCCGTGTACTTCCCACGATGGATCGCTGTCCTGCCATGTTCCTTGTGAGCCGTTCCTGGAGCCCCGCGGTTTAAAAATAATTCATGGATCTCGTCACCTTGGCCGGGACGGTCAGGCTGAGTGCAGGAGCTACAGCTGACTGAACAAGATGTGGGATATTGGCACCGCTTCTCCTGTCCAACAGCAGTGTGGAGGGAGCCTTTGGAAGGGCCATTAGTGTCCATGGAAGTGTCTGGGTAGGAGAGAGAAGGAAGTAGGACAAGGCTGGCAAGCAAGGTGAGCCCTGCCATGCTCGAAGCTAAGGAGAAGCAACACGTAAGGTACTATTTCCTGGGAAAACTATGCTGAACTAACTAAATGACGCTTCTATTTTTTCCCCCCGGGTTTCTTATTGTTGGGTTTTTAATGTTTTTGAGGTTTTTGTTTGGTTGGTGTTTTTTTTCCCCCGTGCCATGTGCTTGTGGCCCAGGAGCGCCCTGGGTGGTGCGTTTGCAGTGGCAGGGAACCTGCCGTGGGACTCTCCCGGCGGGGCTCCCAGGGAACGCATCCCCCCTGCTCAGGGGGATGGCATCTCCCGGCCTGAGGCACAGGGTGCCCGCGGCCGGGGCCACTCCCAGCCGTGGGG